AACAGGCTTTCTTTACGATCCCTTTAAATGAATGGCTTGGAACTTATTCGTCATCAACGCGAGAGTTTCTGCGTGGCAAAGATCCGCTCTTGGACCCCACGAAGGATGGAGCTCAGGAAATGCATTTCGGAATCCACCATCTTCATCCTTTTTTTTTTTTTTTTTTCAACTTTCATCACTCTGTCCACTTTCACTTTCTTCTTTCTTAAGATGATAGATTTGCGTCATATTGTGAAAATATAATTAATTAATCTTGTCCGTCTAATCACAATTTAAAATTTAAAATTTAAAATTAAGATAATTTAAATACCATGTTATGCTCCTTATCGAAACATTCGATTTACATTTGGAACATCACTTTCTTCTTTTTATCTTTTAAACACACCCTTTCTCTTCCATCATCAACATCCATATTTGTTTCTCATCTTCTTCTCCAACCCTCCTCAATATTATTCTGTTGGTGCCTTCCAGTAGTAGATGTTAAAGTGCGCCTTTGGTTCTGCGCAACTCAGCTTCCTGCAGTCTAATACAAATTCAATGTAGGCCCAACGTGCATAGTAAAACAGCACATAAACAGATGGGATAAGAGGTTCTCCGCAAAATGATGAGATTTCCCATAATTCCCGTCTTAGGCTGGAGTAATTTCACGTGCTGTAATCTACCCTCAGTTAGAGGACCAATAAAAACATCTGATCTGACAAGACTACGCTGTCTGCTGTTTCCCTAACAGCCAAGTAAAAACGGTCATTCGATAAGGTAATAGCAATTATTATGCACCAGTCACAAGGCTCTGTCTTAATGTCGTTTAGTGACACAGGGGTTTAATAAGCATGGCTTATTCCCAGACTGCATTAGCCAGTTTATCTGTTCCGCGAGAAATTTAGAACAGAATCGGTTCAATTTGTTTCAGACGTGGCTTGATATCGCGAGTAGATTAAATACGAGAAATGTTTGCTACCACTAAGTTACATTTTTTTTTTAATTTCCCATGACAAAGACGTCTTAAAAATAGGGAGATTTGAGATGCATAAGCCCCAGGCAAGTTTGGTCGGAAAACTTAAAAAAAATAGATTGTCACCTTGACGTGGATTGTAGGATATTATTAAATGGATGGTTCAAAGCAGGTAACCAACCGATGAAATAATATTCTGTGCAGCGGTGTTCGCTCCGTTTTTACACCTGCGCAGTACCCACTCTGCGCACACAACGAAGCAGAGCATGCGCATTGGTAACCTTCCCTTAGACCTCCGTTGTTTAAGACAAGAAGAATGAGGCAGGCAAATACATTCACACTGCAGTAACATCGAGATATTTCAATATGTGGAAGACATCAGATGAAGTCTGAAAAAAAGTAATAAGTTAAAGCTATGGATATGTGTAATATTGATCACGTAATTCGTTTTTCGAAAACGACACGTAGTTGGCGCCACTTGCAGACGATGTCATGCTGTTGGTGACGTCATGATCCATCCCTTGAGGTTGATGTTTCCCCTTTCTTCTGTTACCATAAAAGCAGTCAGCATTAATATTCACCCCAAAACAAATAAATCCCACCCCTGTTATATTCTTTATACACCCCCCACAAAATTCAGTCCCTTCCTCGATTTCCAGCGGCGTTATTGTTCATACACTCGCCAACTATCATTCTGTGGGCGCTGTTGCTAGGCGCAGGAGATGATTGGCGTTGCTTAGCAGTTTGCGTCCAGAGTTACCTGTTCGTGACTTACCACATTTAACTCCTTCCAGAATATTCGCAACACTTTCTCAAGTTTTTACGGCTATTCTCGATAGGCTACATTTTAAATTTATCATTTTACTCTCTTCTTAGTTGTAACAAAGGAAGTTTTAAAAAAAAAACTTCTGTGAAGTGTATTTTCGTCAAATGACTAATGAGTGTCAAGGTTAATTTTTTTATACAAATATTAAAGCTGCATTTGAAAGATAAGTGTACTACAACAGAATAACTTTTGCCTTTGGTTACATAAGAAACCAGCATTGTATTATATTCCAAAGGTTTTCCGAGTTGTAATGTCTGTTCCAGAGACGTTTTGTCCTTAGTATTAAAAGGGCTAGCCCTGTGTTGGTGCTTCTTAGGACCAATGAACAGTGATCATGATTTGGGACTTGACTGCAGTTAGGTCATCGGACGCTGGCTTAGGTTTCGGAACTGACTGTACAGGACTCACATTAATTTGAATGACGAAACACGTTCGCAAATCTGGCATCGAGACGGCCAGCTAATCGGTTGCTTCGTGTCTGGTGAAACATTGAACAAGCCATCAGCTGTGACGCCAACTGATTTAAACTACACAGATACATCTTACTTAACCATAATGGCAATGAACCCGTTTGCTGCTCACTGCCTTACAAGCGTTTGAGGTACGAATCGCGTGAAAGAGTCCAGACTGGGTCACATCGCTTGGTGCCACTCTAAAATTCGGATATTCAGTGGAGCACAGCCGTTTTGAAGACGCTGCTAGTCGCTTAGCTAGTTCACATCAGCCCGACTCTCGTACCGGTCCTGAGCCAGATGAATCCAACCTATTTCCTTATACGTTCTCAGTAAGATTTAGTACAATAAGTTATTTGGCCTACTATTCTGTCTGCGCCTAGATGTTCCAAGTGGTACATTCGGCCGGAGCGTGACTCTGAGTACAGGCCCGTAGCTTTATTGCCAGTCTCCTACGTGCTTCTATACATCGCTAGCCAGCTGGATCTTTTAGGTTTGTGACGCTCGAGTCGAGCGTAAGCCTCAACTTCGTGACTCCTGTATCTCTTCCAATATCATAGTTGGAAGTAATTTTTGGCAAGAGTTTTCGATAGAGTAACCAAACAGTTGACTTCCAAAACCTAGGTATTCTGTTATCGGCATCTCGAGACTTACAGGCAGGACTATATTTTAGGTTTTGGTGTTGGCCTACTGTTAAATAGGTTACAATTATTTGGCTATTTATTAACTGGTAATGCTTCATAATGAGTTCTTTTATCGTTAATATTTGCAATGCGTGGGTGTAGTGCACCCGTTAACACGTGTTTTGTGGGGGGAGACAGACTGTGATATCGGACGCGGGGTAATTAAGGCAGCGATCGACCTATCGATCGTGACGCGAGGTGTGAAGAACACTTGCATTCCTACAAGTGCCAAGTGGCGGAGGAGGGGGGGGGGGTAAGCATTGGCATTTTGGGCTTCCTAACCCAGTCATAATAAGTTTTAAAAGTTTCTTCCTAAGGCGTTTTTATATCTACTCTGTACATCATAACACGGACAATTATAGGCTTCGAGTAGGATTGGAGATTTTCTGCGTATGTCATAGGGTGTTAAAAAATATATGCAATGCATTTTGTCTCGATTCAGATCGAAAGCCGCGTGCCGACTTCGTGCCATCTCCTTGCTGTTATTCATGCTATGATCGTGTGTTCCAACGCAACAATACTATTTTACGTCACACATTGTTGGCCTATATGCTTTATTTACACATCACACAAGCATACTCGATCCACCCCCAACCGGTGTAGCTGTCCCAACATCACTTTCACTGCAACCCCCACACACGGAGTGGCGCTGAGGGTAGTTTGGTTTGGTTTAGACTTCCAGCCAAAGCTTAAAATTGATGTCCGCTCATTACTAACTAATAAAATGCCTCTATGGTGGTTTTTGGATGCTATGTTGATTTTTTTATCCATTTGGTGTGTTCCAACCCCCTATCACCCCACTTGTGTTACAGTTTCATCTACGCTGCTACCCTCTGGTTTTGGAGTAAAGCCTTCATACCATAGTAACCCGCATTTCTGTGGCAGATAAAAAAGAGAGATTTGAAAAGAGAACTAGCTCGGCTGTAGTTTTGATTGTACTTGTCAACTATGTATGGAATGTGGTTTGATCACTGGACTCAAAATGCTGGTAGCGTTTGGTTGTAGTGGTTCAAAAGTCAGATATTGCGGTGGGTTATTGTAGGGAGGTGAGGTAGGGGTGATTGATACACTGTTAGCCGGGAATGGAAGTGTATAGATGGGGGTGCAGTGAGTGGATTTTTTTTATATCTTTTTTGATGCGCGGTGTTGGTAAAGTTTTTGGTTGTTTTGTGAATTATCGGCGCCTCCCCACCACTGATGCCACTATGAATATGCAGATATCATATTGATGGCATCCATCACGATGCTTTGCAGCCCTTCAGATTCAAAATACATCCATCGGTAATGAGT